GAATTGGATCGGATCGAGCGGGCCAACGTCAACATCGAATCGGATCGATCGGATCGAAATCACTAGGCCCTGGGAGCAAGCAAGGGGGGCGGGGAGCTGGAGGAGGAGAGGGGGAGACGGAAGAGCCAGACCTCGCAGAGCTCGCTTCACTCGTCGACCTGACTGCCGCCGGGGACCTAGTAGAAATCCCCAGGGGCAGGCCGGGCAGGCGTCGTAGGAGTTGCCGCCGTTTGGCGACGACGACAACGGGGGATGGCTCCTCCACAGCCAGGGAGGGAGGTCTTCCCCCACCCGACAGGCTGCGGCTGGTAAACTAAAGCAGAAGCCCGCCCGCCGGTCCTGCGTGCCGCAGCCGCCGGACCCCAATCTGCCCACAGCCCCGATGGTCCTCGAGCCTCCCGCCTCGCTGGGCCCCGAACATCGCGTCGATGAAAGCATTCCGTCACTGACTCAGGCATGACAGGCGTCGCGACGTCACGCCGTCCACATGCATCTAGAGCATACGCAGACACCGGCACCAGGAGCAGACATAATGAGGATACACCAGGGGCGGGCAAGCATGAAAAGCAGGCAAGACTAACAGTCATCTAGAACAGACGCCATCGATATTATGTCAACAGCATTCACCAACAACACTCAAGTGACAGACGCCATGAGCAGCCACCAACGGCAACCATGGAGCTTCGTGCTCATGCCCAAACAAGAGCATTCACCGGTATCATGCATCAAAGACATCATGTTCGACCGTCCAAGAACGTACATCGAGCATGCACATCGAAGACTGGCATCAGTAGCGTGCAGCCAAGACCGGGCATCAATAACATACACCAAGGACTGATATCGAGAACGCACGTCAACAGTATGCTTCCGTTTCAGACACGAGTGGCATCCATCAAGGACACCAGAGAGGGGGGTCAAACACGCACGCGTGCAACACGGCAGATTTACATCGCAAACGCAAATGTTAGTCGACCACATACTCTTGAATAACACGCTTGGCTTTCAGCGACCGCGCGCTCTGCTTCGTTGGCAACTCATGGGAGCCTCCCCTACCATCTTGCCGGCTCTTGCAAATCGACGCTGATCGGCGCTGAATCGACGCCAGAACCACGCCGATCGGCGCTAGACCGACGCAAAGAGGCCGAACTCCTTTAAACACCTAGGAGGAAGACAATGTGTTGGGCTTCTCGCGCTTTCGCCTCCGATGAGCCTCTTGGGCCCTAGAGAGGCCCGAGATGGGCCCAAGACGACCCCGAAACGGCCCCAAGGGCGCCCAAGAGGCGCCCAAGAACGCCCCGAGATGGCTCCAAAAGGCCACCTTGAAGCTTCCGAGGGGCGGGGGACTAAATTGGTTACCCCCATTATTTGATCGATCTCCTCCAGGATGGCCTCAAGAGAGCCGAAAGGGGCGCCCAGCATTACTAGGGAGGCGCCTAGCATCACCAGGGCCCCCACGAGAGACCAAAGAGGCTCCAAGAGGCTCCTCCGAGGCATCAAAAACACTCCAAGTGGCCCCAAGGACCACGAAGACATTTCCTCCTCCTCCTCCTCCTCCTCCTCATCATCCTCCTCCTCCAGGGCAATATGATCTTATGTTGTTTTTCGGAACCCGCTCGGACAAGCTTTGGCAACGAATGACACATCCAAGGCCGCATGCAACCTCCTTCTCCCCCTCCTCCTCCTCCTCCGCTTCCGCTTTCTCCTCCTCCTCCTCCTCCTCCTCGTCCTCCGTTCACGCCCGGGGCAATGTGATAGGATGTGTTGCTAAACCCGTTCGGACAAGCATTGGCAGCATCGTGGTGCAGGAACCCCTCCCCTATGACGTAACGTGACAGGTCAACATTTGCCGAAGAGGACCCCAAGAGGACCCCCATTGAGCGACTCATGCAACAAATGTCCCCTCTCCTCCACGCGCCCTCGAAAAGGTATCCAAGGCGGCTGTCGCACTTCATGCTTCTACGCTGCCCTCATCAGGGCAACGACCTGGCGATCATGCCTGGATGGGCAGGTGGGGAACGGCGAAGCGTCAAGAATTCACGTAGTTTCCCCACTTGGCGTTCGAGAGCGGTGACTCGATGATTCGTTGCAATTTGTTGCTGCTGAACGTCTCCGAAACGAGCCGCCATCCTCTTGTTGAGTTGGCCACAAGCGGTCACGACGGTCTTGCCAGCCAAACACCCCCGCGACTTCAGCACAGGTGTCGTCGACGATGCCGCAAAGATGTTTGACAGCAGCTGTAGCGTCACCATCATCACTGGCACGAGCTTTCTCCCATGCTTCCCCGCCCGCTGAGCGGAACCCGATACGATCGGAAAGTGGGCGCGTCCTCGAGCTCCTCCGTGAGAGCGCCTAGTCTTGGCAGGACGGGGCCCCGAACTTGGAATAGATGTTTGTGCTTGACATATACCCAGTCGCCAACTGTCTGGCGGAACCGTTGTTTTTCATGCAACGCCCCTCCCTGTCGAACAACTCCCCCAAAATAAGCATCTCATCTACGACTGTGTAAACGTGGCGGGTACCCCTCTGAGCTATAGCGAATTCATATGTAAATTCGCACGCGCATCTCCCTGCTGGCATTATTTCTAACGATGAGGCCTTCCAGTGCACGCCGTGCGAATGGAATCGAGTGGCAATGTCGTTGGTCACGCAGCTGAGGCTCACCTGGTCGGCGGCGAGTAGAACGATGTTGTCACACCACACGGTGCGTGTCACGTAAAAATCACGGCTCCCAAAATCCAGTTTGAAGCCGAATCATTTGGCCCCCCATGCTCGGATATGAAACCCCAGCAAGTAATCCATCAATGTGTTCCGTCGGTCCGGGGTCTCAATGCCACCCTGCTTGCCTCCTTTGCTGTAGTCGAAAAGTGACTTGCTCCCAACCTCGGGCAACTGGATGGTCGCCCGCAGTCCCGTGAGCTCGCGGAGGTGCGCCGCAGTCATCCCAGAGCTTACTCCCGGACTCCTCATGGAGGTGCGTATGTGCTCGTGCTGCATGGAAGCGAATGTGAACTCTACATCCGTGTTGCGATTAGAAACCCCATGCCCAATTGAGTAGCCAAGTGAAGGAACTGTCTCGCCAAAACCGTCAAATGTTATGTTGTTGCATCCTGGGCGGAAGCCGTAAGAGTGAACGGCGGATGGACATAATTGTCGACGCATTGGGGTCTCGAACTCAACATGTTCCATTTTTGCAACGACGCTGACTTGCAAATCCAGCGTAGGTCCTTGAAGGTCCGGACGTCCGTGGTCTTCGGAATCCGTAAAAAATCGAGGAGTCTCCAATACGGCGATTCGCCGCCAGGTTGGAAACCGAGTCTTTCCTTGAACATTGTGTGTATGTGTTATATCGCCGCCCACAGCATGGTTTGTAAACTTCGGCCAGAATGCCACCAGCACCCTCGCCATTACAGTCTGACAAAGCGGCTCGAGCTTGCAGCACATCATACAAATCTAACTGCGGATCTCGTCATATACGACCATCAAGACGGTCAGCCCGGGCAGCAGAATCGAGCTCGACCGATCGAGCCATTTGTTTTGAAATGTCGTTTGCTGCGTTGCCAAAACGGTCACGTCCGAACTCCAATAAAGCTCGCAACCATTGCGTGTGATCTGTCGATATGTCACCATCGAGCTCAAAACGTACAGGTTGAAACGACTGCTGCGGAAGAGCTTTGGAAAGTCTGGAAAGTGTGTGTGCAAATACTTCCTTTGAGCACGCCGTCGTCGCAGCCGTCTGATCTCTCGCTTGATCTCTTTAACTGCTGGTCCACGCGCTTGTCCTCGAAACTGCGACCGAAGTGAAGACACGTTCTCTGCTAACGCCGTATCTTCATCATCTCGGGCAGTGCGCGACGAAGTGTACGGGGTCTGAACGGCCAGGTCAAGGACTCATTTCTCCAAGACTGCTAGCTCGAACTTGCACTCCAAAACTGCTCGCTGAAATTGGTCCCGGTCCGTAGGTTCCTTGGGTTTCCAACCTTTGAGAAAATGAGGCCTCGGAGGGAGCGCGAACATGATGCCAGGGAGCTTCACATGGGCTACAACAGGCCTGTGGTCTCATGGGTACCGCTTGTACATATCCCTGATCTTGGAATGAACCAGCGGGTATGCCGAACCTTCGATACCATCCGATACACGCGCATAATCAATTTGATAACGTGCTTTGGGCGCACGCATGTCCATAAATATTCGCGGCTGGCAGTGGCCGAATAACTGTTGAGAGCGCGCAAACTGTATTGGTGTAACAAAGATAAGATGCCTTGCTGCTGTATGTGAGTATGGCCCTGAAGGTGGAAGAAGAGATTGTCTGGTAACGCCGTCGAAATTCCGAGGTAGGGCAACTAGTGTTGGCATCGATCCCTGCCACTACTGGCAGATCTCGTCTCGTTTCAGGACAGGCGTGCATGTAGAATTCGTGCGTATCCGCTTGAATCTGATCCAGAAGAATATCAGGAGCAACGTCATAAAGAGGGGAATGGAGCACATGGGTCGAGAAAATGCACAGGTGGTCGAAGAAAAGGCCCGCCCAGTACCTCCCGAAACGGACGCTACGGATGTGGTTCCCGACGTTTGCGGGGACAAGAGAAGCGCAGTCCTCCCCGGCGTAACCTTTATCGAAGTCAGACTGCGTAGAAGATGAAACTATTTTTGCAACCGCCGATTGCCTTCCCAGCTGGCCATCTGGGAACTTCCTGAAGACACAAAAGCGCATGGCCTAGACCCAATCCTTGTAGATTGCGCCCAATCGCCTTCCCTGCCCGTATCCCCTGCTTCCAGAGGTTCCAAGAAATCACTGTGAAGGTATGCTGCTCTGAACCTGAGCCCCCGGGGCACCCCTACCTCCTGCGCTTGAAGACTGCAAGAGCAGCGTCGGCCATCTCCGCCGACGGCTTACCAGGAAGATTCAAGCACTCACGGTCCCAAGTCACACGGGCGTCCTCCTCGACATGGGCGATGAAGACAGGCGCCTTGCCGTCCGAGGTCGCGGTCACGTTGCAGTCCGGCTTCCACATGATATTGGTGGTACAGGTGGCATCGATCTCGCTCGTCGCAAAGTCCGCCACCTTACCCAAGGTCGAGTTCACCTTCACCGCGGCTGGGTGAGGCTGCGCAAGGACCCATAATATCTGGCCCCGCCAATTGTTGGTCTCCTCCTTGAGGTGATCGTTCCATGTGTTGGCGATCTCCCAGAGATGGGTAGGTGTCATGGGGATGCGGATGCACAAATCCTTGGCCCTTCGCAGCTGGAACTCGCCGACGTGGACAGCCTTCAGCTTGGCTACGACGTTGGCGGCCTCGGGTCGGTCGACACCTTCGGTATATATCTCGCTTCTCCCGGCGCAGAACCCCTTCACTTCGATCCACTTCGGCACGAAGTCCTTCTGCGGACCCGTGTCCTCGAGGGTGCGGAGGCGGGCTTCAAAATTATCCTGTCGTGCCTTGACTTCCTGGACTTCCCCTGTTATTTGTGGTACTTCGCGCTTGACCTCATCTCGCAATACTTGGAGGGCCGCGTCGGTGTGATCATTGATGCTCGCCTGCATCTGGGTGGCCCATGCTGGTGCAGCCTCCGATCCCATGGTGCGAAGTATGAGAGGTGTAGTAAGAGGAAGGGGTAGATCTGGAGAATGTCGAGAATCTCTAAGATTGGGGGAGATCTCATCCATGCCTCTTTTCCTCTCTTCCCCTCCTCCTCCTCCTCCTCGCTCATTCCTTCTCCGTCTTCCGTCCCCCAGAGACACGGGGGAGAGAGAGAGAGAGAGAGAAAGAGAGAGAAAGAGAGAGAGAGAGAGAAAGAGAAATACTGCTGAATTCAAACCCCACACAAAGCCTCATGTAATTATACGCAATCCGTTTGGGGTCGAACACCAGCTCCTCGCGGGTCTGGTAGGCCGTTCTGAAGCTAACGAGTATGTCGAGGGTCCAGAACATCGTCACGGCCTGGCGTGTGAAACAGCATACCACAGCGAAAATAGACAGCTGACGCGAGAGACAGGGGGAGGGAGAAATGATACATGATACATTAATCTAATGTAGAAACAAGAAAACGAAAACAAGAAAAGAAAGGCAGACCCACACACAGAGACTGATGGACAACGAGAAAAACGATGGGGGCAGGAGCGATGGGGAGCCGAAGGGCACTGGGGGCGAGGGGATTGAGTGGTGTGGGGCCGGGTGGGAATGAGCGGGCCCGGGCAGGACGCGAAGGGTGTGTGTGTGTGTCTGTGTGTGAGTGTGCGTGTGGGATTTTTGTTCGTACAAGCCGGCTTACAGACCGAGTGGTGTGTTGACAAGCTGGAAAAAGAATGCAGACAGCAGCTGGCCGACAAGCTGAAACGGCCGAATGGCACGACAGTCGAAAACGGGCACATAAAAGGGCCGACGAACAAACACACCGAGGATCATGGACCGGCGGGACGACAGGCGAACAAGACAACAGAGGGACGGGCACACGGACGAACAGAGTCACCGGCAGGCTAGATGCTATTAGGGGAACGAAGGATGACAGAAACATAAAAACTCTGAGGTCCGCGCGGATTTCTCGGATCTGCGCTGGACCCCCCTGGCGGCGCCTCTGGCGCGCTCCGCGCGCCAGAGAGAGGGGGTCCAGCGCCGATCCGAGAAGTCCGCGCGGACCTCCGAGTTATTTATGTTTATGTCATTCTTCGTTCCCCTAATATATAAGATGGTTGACTACACAGACCCCGATCAGCATGCTCTCGCACAATAGCGCATCAGCCGTAGGGCACCACACGTGCAGCACCAATGGTGGCCACCAGAGCTCGCAGCAGACCGGCCAGCATGCTCGGCGCACCAACCTGGAGGGCGTCGGGGCGGCCAAAGGGAGCCCCGAAACCTCAGTGCAAGAAGCTCTCTGGGAACATAGATGAACGGGGAGGAGCAGGAGGAGTTGGAGGAGGACAAGAACAAGGACATCTGCATAAGGGGGTCAACGTCAACACCTACAAAGGAGCTGTGCCTGCGACTAGCCAAATCCCCTGCGATTAGATTGTGCCGCAGACCCAGACTTCTCATGGGGGCGAGTCGGAGGAGGAGGAGGAGGAGGAGGAGGAGGAAGAGCAGGATCGGGGAGGCGTCCGTAGCCATCTGGCTCAAGCCCTTGGCTCAAGGCCATTTCCCCTCCAAGGAGTGGGGTCAGGGCTCGAGGTGGCGCAGCGCCCGATTGTTGCTCACACATATCTGCTGCCCGCAGGTGTGAGCGAAGCACTCAGAACCTCCCTAGCCGCTATGGGAGGTCGAGGTGCTGGCGGCAAGGACAAGAACAAGGCCTCGAAGAGTGGAAAGGGCAAGGGCAAGGACAAACCCTCCACCGTGACGTCTGTGTCGCACGCGCCTGCGTCTTTTTCCTGGACATGTGCAGGATGCAGCGCCCAGGTGAGTCTTCAGCACCAATGGTGCTGGCGCTGTGGGGCCCATTGGCAAGCGGAGCCATCTTTGAGCCCAACGAGTGACCAGCACCAGGGCAGCCGCAAGAAGAACAGAGAAGAGGCCACCTCCGCTGCGAAGAGCCAGCCCCAGATCCTCAAGCTCCAGAGCACCCTAGACAGGCTGAAGAGTCTGCAGTCCAAGCAGGAAGGAGCAACGCTCGAGCATACGGAGGAGGCCATGGCATCTATCAACAATATATTGGGCAAGTTGCGGGCTGACCGCGACAGTGGCAAAAGTGAGTCCCAGCTGCAGCAGGTTATGTTCACAACGCTGAACAAGGCGCAGAAGCAGTTGGAGGCCCAAGAGGAGTATATCAACCAGCAGACCCAGGCATTGGAGGGCCTGGAGATCAAACGTGCATTGATGTTGGCAGATCTGGAACCGGCCAAGCAGTTGCACACGGACTTAGAGCAGAAGGTGGCGGCCCTGAAGTTCCCCGCACCTCAGGCCGACCCATACTTTCCTCCTCCAGGCATTCCCGTACCGACACCGATGCCAGCGGGGAAAGGCATGGCAGTGAGTGCGATCTCGTAGTTTGGACCTGGAGGGGCGAACATGGATGCTCAAGCGCTTTTTGAATAGTCTGAACTTTCTCGGCAGCAATTTGCACCCCAGTCTGATGCAGCAGCTGTGGACCCCCATGCAGGAGCTTGCGCAGCAGATCCGCTTGCAGGGTGGTTTGGATTCGTCGGGGGATGCGGCTTCGACGGCGACGAATGCATCTGGAGTTCGCGAGGAGCTCGAACACGCACAAGCTGAACTACGAGGTGCAGAAGTGGCGGGCGCGCTCGTGGCTGAGGCTGAACAGGCAGCTCGTCCGGCAGCGGATGCGCGTAAAGAGCAGGATGCAGAGATGCTACAGCAGCCTCTAGCGGGAAGGCGACCTGCTGATGCAGTTGGGGGCGCAGCAGAGAAACGAGCGAGGGCTGAGGGTGAGGCTGCTGAAGAGGGCGCTGCGGCTGCGGAGGCAGCGGCGTCTGGACAGCGGCTTTTGCACTCAGCAGGTGGCATGTGCCACCGAGGGGCTGCTGATTCTCACCGTCAATGCTAACAACTGGACGTTGACGGCCGCCTACATCAAGTGTTGTGAGGCACACATAGTACTCGTTCAAGAACACAAATACATGGTCAACGATTGCTGGAGGCAAACGGATCTACGAGGAAGCTGGGCTGGAAATCATTATGGTCGCAATGCGAGATCGCGGGCAAGGGCGACTCATCAGCAGGTGCAGCCATCCTAGTTCGATCTCATCTGGGCGCTTGGCAAGACCCCAGCAGAAGTCACGATTTAGTTCAGTATCGATTGATTCGCGGGTATGCTCGGTCAAAGCCTTTGGGAATTATCTCTCTCTACTGCGGCTACTTCCACGACAATGTGGGGCTGGCCCCCTAAGACTGTGCTCATGGGGCAAATCCGTGGCAGAGATGTGCTTCGCCAAGGGCTACCTTTTGTGTGCGCAGCTGGTTTCGATATGGAACCTCATGTATTCCGAGAAGGACTGGCACCACACAAGTGGAATGGACAATGCATTATATCAAGTCCGATGGCCACGTGCATGAGCTCTGACGCTGGGAAATGCTACGACTACTTCATTTTGGGCAAACAACTACTCCCGACTGTCAAGCCGGCTCGTGTGGACCTGGAGTTAGGCATCTTTCCGCACAGGCCGATCTACCTTCGGCTCACCGCCAAAGCGGACGGCATACGTGTGCAACGGCTGCGCAGCTTTGCGCGGCTCCCAGTGGACTGTCCCATTGGATGCAGACCGCGCTCGCCCGAGCATGGGGGCTTAGATGCGAAGCCCAGCACTCTCTTGCAACCTCTGGAAGTCGCAGGTGGATTCAGGCCCCCCATCGGCAGCGAGGCGAGCACCCTGCAGAGCGGCCTCGACGAGGCCTACGCGGGGTGGTGTTCTACGGCTTGGAAGGAGCTGGAAGGAGTCTACCAAGCGAGTCCCCCTCTGCTCCAAGGAGGCAAACCTCATGAGCTGTGCGAGGTCCCACTGTGTGAGCTCGCATGCACTAAGGGGTCCCCAGCGAGAAGCCCGTATAGAACGTTCCACTGGTTGGGTAGACGTTGCAATGAGATCAGAAGTTTGTTAGCTTCTGTAAGATATATGACAGATCCTGGTTGCTATTGGAAACCCCTGAAGGCCGCGCACCGATCGACGGAGTCGGGGGGCACCTTTCGCTTTCATCATCCTGGAGGCCTGGAGCTCTGGATGGGAACCCTCCGCGCCGCTCTGGGACCGCTCTGGGAGTCCATCTTCATCCAGTTTGTCCATGCGATTGCAGATAGTTTTTGGGCTCCCCAGCAGCTTGTGGATTTTAAGGCCGCTCTATCCCTGCCGAAGGAGAAGGCGGAGAATGCCCAGAAGTGGGCTGACTGGTGCACGGAGGCGCTGTCTGGAGGGGCGAAGTGGGCTCGCGCCTGCACCGAGGTGGCTGAGGATCGGAAGCAGGATCTCTTACCCACTGACGATGGCTCCTCCCTCGCCTCATCGCTTACTAGACAAGTGGAGGAGGAGGCGTTGAAATGGGGCAATGCTTGGGGGGGGGGGGGGCAAAGGAGCAGAAGGGGTTGGTCTGGCCTGAAGGCATGATAATCCCATCACCTCCCACCCCTGAAGAGACCCCGACATGTAAGCAGAAGTTTCAAGCGATCTACCATAGCAGCAGATGGTTTTCACCCTCGGCACTATCACGAATTGCGCGAGGGCGCGCTCTTAGTTTTCAGCCAGGTCATGGGCCTGATGACGGTGCTCGGCTCATCCCCGTCCTGGATGCGAAAATTGATTATAGCCCAATTTCAGAAGCCTGTATCTGGAAGACGCCCGATTGGATTTTATCAGAGTTTGGTCAGAATGATTTCCAGGTGGCATTCCAGGGCGCGCAAGGAATGGGGACATCGCGTCCGGGATGTATGGGTATTTTCGACGAGGGCGGGCCGCTCGCCTACGGACGCAGTTTGGAGGCAGCAGGCCCGAGGAGATTTGGCAGTAAGTGAAGAGCAACATGTACTATCTCTGTTAGTTGATCTAACCCAACGCTACGAACATGTTCAACACCCGCAGTCAGTGCAAGCGGCAATAGACTGGCAATGTCCTCCGTTTGCTCTTCGCTTCTCTCTGCATGCGCACGGGTGGGAGCGCGTGCTCAACATGGGCGGTGCCATGTCTAAGTTTATTCAACCGCATCAGGGTATAGTAGCAGGCAGCAGCACGGCGACTTTCGATATTCAAGTATATTGTATTCCAACAATCAATAAGTATCTTGAGAAAGGTTTCCTCCCGAGTCTGGCAGTCCACGTGGGCGACTTTGCGTTGAATTCGAGATGCGACACCATCAGGTCATGTATCAACAACATGGCGCTGGCGCTCGCGTTCCTGATAGATCATAGTTCGCAGCTTTTTCAATCTCACTTTCTCACTGAAGAAATTTTGCGTCACGGGCTCCAGAGAGCAGCTGGTGAAGGCTGCAAAAGAGAACCTTGTGCAGTACGCGGGCGAATACGACATCTCGGTTACAAATCTAGGTGTAGACTATAGCTCAGGAAAGCACAAGAAGCGGACGCATGTCCAGAAAAAGCGTCGCGAACGGTGGAACAAGCAAAAAGCTAGACTGAGCAAGATTAAGAGCTTCAAAAACCCAAGAAGGAGTCGAGCCAAGGTCTGGTTTTGCGGGGTGAAACCAGCCACTACCTACGGGGAGGAGGTGGCGGGATGGAACCCTGTCGAAATCCGTCGCCTCCGCTCGCAAGCCGCAGGCTTTCTTGGGCTAACTAGTTGCGGACCTGATTTGAATCTGGCCGTTTTCACTGGCACTGGAACCGAGTAAGGATCCATTACGACATGCAGGAGCAACCCTCAGACGTTTCGCCAAGGAGTATTGGTTGGCCTCTGATGAACAACACCGCCCTGGGGATTGTTTATCGATTGGGGAGCTGTCAAAAATCACGAATGCGACGCAGCTCTACCAAGATCGTCGACCGCGGGGATCCTGGGATGTATTGTCTTGGGGGCCAGTGGGCGATGTGCTGCTCTGGTTGGAAAAAAGCTTCCTGGACCATCAGAGGCCCTGGCATTTTACTGTGAGAAGTGGAGCTCCATGTATACTGACGGCCACACCGTATCGTCGAGTAGCTAGTTATTTCGCCAAGGACCTGGGCAAGGAGTTCGTGGCATCCAGTATGCGAAGGCATTTAGAATCTAGTGAACACGAGCGCGCTGGTGAAATTCTCTCCAGGGGCCTCTGGACCGATCCTCCAAAGGGCCATTTGGAACGGCAGAAGATCTAAGAATATCAAGCGCATCATCAAACACCTGTTCACTAGAAGCTACATTACGGCCAGCCGTCTTCATAGGTGGCGGTACCAGGTGGACCCTCTTTGTCCTTTCTGCAGGCAGGAGGCAGGCGGCTCCATAGACAGTGTATGGCACAGAGTTTTCGAGTGCCCGTATTTCAGCGACAAGCGAGAAGAGTTCATGCCCATGGAGTGGGCTCAAGCAAGATTAGCAGCTGGAGAGAACGACGTTTTCTTCAACAATCTCTGGCTTCCGATCCCTGATGAAATTCCTGAGCCGCTTTGGGATGGAGAAGTCAAATATGCGGGCCCAGATGGGCCGATTGCGGAGTTCAAGTTTCAGATTTCTGGTTTCATCTACCATGATGGATCGTGTTTCGGAGGCAAGTATGAGTTGGTAGCTCGAGGAGGATGGGCAGTGATTGCTGGTGACGAGGCACGTAACTTCCTGAAAACTGTGTACGGTAATAGTCCAAGCTTTTTACCCGAGTCGGCAGTGTTTGCAGAAGCCTACGGTCTCCTCCAGTGCCTCAGACACCTTGATGGCGTACCCGATGATGATGATGATGATGATGATGATGATGATGATGATGATGATGATGATGATGATGATGATGATGATGATGATGAAGATGACCCCGTTTGCTTCACCATTCACATCGACTGTTGTCGGGTGGGAAGGACCCGCTGCAAGCCACCTCGGGTCAAAGCCCGCTGGCAGAAATTTGGCGTGCGCTGTATTCTAACAACTTTCTGTGCTGGCGGCTGTTCAAAGTGAAGAGCCGTGCCACGGATGAGAACCTCACTAGAAAGGCTTTGAGGCATCGAAAAAGGAATGACCGTGCTGATGAGTACGCTAAAGACGGCGCCAAGATACATCCCAGAGTTGTTGAAAATATGCGTCGCTACGAAATGTTTCTGAATGGTTGGAATAAGGTGGCCTTAGGTGTAGCAAATATTCAGGTCGATATCCCGGGAGCCCAAGAGCTGTTCGGGAAGCTAAATAGAAACGTCTCTGAAGTATTAGAGCCGAGGCCACTTAGCAGCCGCGCTCACCGAGTGCTCTGGAATGGGAATCGTTGGCGATGTGTCAGATGTGCTAAGTGTTTTACTAACAAATCGGCCCCTGGAAAGTGTGCGGCCCTGACCCCGTCCCTGATGAAGCTCAGGGGCATCCAGGTGACCCCTCCCCATAGGCTATATGTGTGCAGAGTTTTGGAAACTGATCTTCCCATCGTGTCTTGCATGACGTGCGGGGCCTACACTTCGGGTCAGGCTCGTGCGTTAGGGTCCCCGTGCCAGAAGGTTTATAAGCAGCAGAGGAGTCAGCTGCTGAGCGGTAAGCTCCCGTGGCCGAAAGGCCAACATGTCTCCAAACCGTGGCCCATGACCCACCCTGAATCCGAGGGGGTTGAATGGTGGACCAGGCTGCAGCACTTATGAAGTAATTATCTCTTGTTGCGTGCCCGCCCCACCGTGGGCGGGCGGCGGACTTTTTGGCCACTGCCTACGGGCGGTGGCGGGGGGGGCAGCCAGGCACCTGGGCCTCAGCCCTGCCCCTGCACGGCGGTCCTGGCCTTCGGGCTCCGTCCTGCAGGTGCGGGGCTGAGGTGGTCGGTGGTGTTTGGGGGCCTTCTTTCGCAGCCCCTTCGATCATCGATTGGTGGGAGCCAAGAGAGAGCCACTGGAAATCGGGGAGGCCGGGGGCGACGACGACGACATGAACGAGGAGGAGAGGAGAAAGGGAAGGACCGATCGGGCACATCGTGCACCGTGCCAACGGCACGCTCAGGAAGGTCGGTGTGCCTGCTGGCTATCTGGCAGGGTCTGTCTGTGCACACAGTTGTTCGGGTGCGGCCCCCACTGCGCGGGACGAGGGCCAGCGGGTTGCCCAAGGAGCCCCCCCCATGCCAAGCCGATGTAGCCCAAAGCACCCCCAGATGCCCCAACGCGTCCCCAATAGGCTCGAGGCGGCCATGGAGCCAGTCAACAAGCCCCCGAGAGAGCATGGGAAAGGGAAAGGGGCCATCATAGCGCTGGCGAGAAAGTCGTGCTCGTTGGTTTGGATGTCCCAGCCAATCACGATAGGGATCAAAATGAAGTCCCATGCCATGCAGACGATCGCGAACCCGTCGTACACCATCTTCTTGGTCGAGTGTGGATTTATGATGGACCACCTGGCGGCGAGCGCGCAGAGGAAGAAGGGAAGGAAGTCAGGAGAAGGAAAGAGGGGAGGGCGAATATGAGGGAACAGTCAAAGGGTGGACGAGCAGGAGGAAGAATGATGGAGCAATCTTGCTCCAGCTCAATGCTGGAGGAAGAATGATGAAAGCTCAATCTTGACGAGCAGGAGGAAGAATGATGACGAGCTCAATTGCTCCAGCTCAGTCTTGACGAGCAGGACGAACGATGGAGCAATCTTGCTCCAGCTCAGTGCTGCCTCCAACTAGAACGGCTTCCCGCTGCGCCCCGCTGCACGGCCTGCGCCACAAGCCACCTCCGCATGCTCCTCAAAAGTGGGCAAGAGAAGGCGGGGAGGTGGAAGAGGATCTTAAAGATGGAAGGGAACGTGTGTGGGTGGGGGGGGGGGGGGCGTAACTCGCGTCGCGTAGAGGGAGGGGGGGGGTAACTAGCCAATGATGGGGTCGAGGACGGAGAGGGAGGGGGCATAGAGAGAGCACGGGGATGTGGATGGGGACGGAGGGGAAGGGCAAGGGGGGAAGCGACGAGAGAGAGAGAGAGAGAAAGAGGGCCAAAGGAACATGACGTGCAACGCGTGCTGCGCGCCACTGCCAGCCCTCCTCCTCCTCCTCCTCCTCCTCCTCCTCCTCCTCCTGCTCCTTCCCCCTCTCCTCCTCAGGGCGCCGCAACTGCCTTCCAGCCAACACCGAGGGTTCCAGCGGCACCGCCCCTGAAGCTGCACCACGCCGTCGGAGCGGGAACAACTGGGGGGATGAGGGGAGCCAGGAAGTGCGAGGAGAGAGGGATTGCACTCAATGTCCCCCCCCCAAAGGAGGAGGAGGAGGAGGAGGAGGAGGCGGAGGAGGAGGAGGACGGGGGGGAGGGGGACGAGGAATGGGAGGAGGAGCAGCAGGAGGAGTAGGAGGAGGAGGAGAAGGATGAGGGGGAGGAGGAGGAGAGGGAGGAGGAGGCGGAGGAGGTGGAGGCGGAGGAGGAAGAAGAAGAGGACAAGTTCCCCCCCCTTCCAAGGCCAATCCAATGATCTCTGCGCTTTTTGGAAGAAGCGA